TCCCCCTCCCTCGCTGCCTGTGAACCAGGGGCTCTGTCTGCACTTCAGAGTCCCCGGGAGGTGTGGAGAGATCCCCCATCAGGCCTGGGACAGTGTAAGCTGTGAAGTTTATGTTTGCGGCGCCAGGGCTCCAACAGCCATTCAGTGGCTTTGCTGCCTTATCAAGAAAACAACAATCAGGAAAGATCAGTAAACAGAAGGGGCCTTCAGCGCCCTGAAGGAGCGCCGGGCACTTTGAGTTGAAAAACAGCCACGCACACTGTACAAGTGAACTGTCTTTATTTTTAAAGCGTTAAACGGGGAGGATTCCAGATGTGGGGTCATTTGCAAAAGGAACACTTTTTAAAAGAGAGGCACAAAATTATCCCCTGCTCCCTCCCCCCGCCCAGCCCCCAGAGGAAAGGTGACTTGCCTTGCTGTTGTGACGTCATCTTTAACTGTTGATGAGCAGAGAGGAAGTAAATAGGAAATGAGTGGGAACTCAAGCATAATTGGGATTGGAAATCTCCTCTACAGAAGCCGTTGGCCACAGGAACTTTACAAATAAGAAGGAAGTCCTTTCTGCTTAGTTTACTGACAGGAGGGGTGAGGTTAAAACGTGACTGGCCGGGTTCCATCCGAAAGGTAGCTTTTCTGGTGGTTTGGATGGAGTTTTAACTCCCCTCCCCCTCTTCTTTTTAAAGAAAAGGGAAAAGACTAAGTAAGTCCACATGGGATTTTCCAGGCGTTCCCCTGAGAATGATCTTATGACTTAAATTTCAAGGTGCTGGGGAAATGCGAAGTACTTCTAGGTGCCTTCAGAGCACACTGTCTTTGTGGCTGGATAGGATGGGCCTGAAAAGAGGTCCTTCAGAGATCAGTTTCACAACCAGAGGCACACAGAGGCAGAGCTGCACAAAGTCGCCCTTTAATATTGAATCCCACAAAAGCGGTGGAATGGTTAAGTGGGTACACACACCCCCATAGAATCTCCAATGATCAGAAGTGTTATTTCCATGAAGAAAAATATCGTCAGGCATGTAATTCTAGCTGAGAAGGGAATTTTTTTTTAATGGTAAGAAAAGCCAGGTCCACGTGATGCAAAGGAAAGACAGGGCTGAAACAATTGGGGGGGGGGGGCAATCCTGTCTGTGAGAGCACAGATACGGATATGGGTCCCCAATTTGAGGGGAGCATCCTGGCCGGATGGTGCATCCCGCTTTAGCTTGCAGGAGCGGGAGGACATGAGTCCCAATGTCCAGAAGGGAGAATGCAGAGTCATAAGGGGAGGGAGGACCCAAGATAATAGCAAACAAGAGGAATTCCATGGGAAGAGGGGTCCCCAGAGGTGTGCAGGGAAAAGGGCGTGTGCACAGGAGAGGGTTTGCAAACGAGACATTTCAGCTGCGCACTGGAGAGCACACGCTGAGGAGCGGAGAGGGAACACACCTTTCCTATGAATAATACAAGAAGCGGGATGCTATCGACCCATCCATCCGTTCTCCGCCGGCAGGCAACAAATATCTTGAATCCAGCAAGTGAAACCAAATCATTCATCACTCCCCTCCCAAAGTCCTGCACTTCAATTCAAGCTGTGGACTTCAGGACAGACTGGCATCTATATATGTAAAACATCACACACACCCCCTCCACCACACACACACACACACACACCCCGTCCTAATCTTAGAAATAAATGTCAGGATGATGAAGCATCACAAAGCTGTGTGCCTCACTGAAGTCCTTCCATGGCATTCGAACCCTAAATAAAGTTTTGGGGTGTTTTTTTTCCATCTCCAGGTCGTAAGTGGTCACAATAGTCTAGCAGAGGCTAAGGTGAGGGACGAGGGCTTAAGGACCAGGACTCCCGGTGACACCAGCGTGCACGCTGGACCTGCTACCCTTCCAGTCAGTTCTTCGTCTGTCCCAGGTGTGATGGTGAGGAAAACGGAAAAGGCAGACAAATAGAGATTGTGAACAGGAAGCTAACAGAGTCAGGTCCCCTGCAAGAAAGACAAGGGAGAGAAAAGAAAAGGCAAATAAAAAAGGAAAGGGGGGGGGGCTTTCCCCCCAGAGAAGATCTGTGTGAGATAAGACATAACTCCTGTTTTTCTCAACACACTACAAGCCATTATTACCCGGAGCCAAATTATTACCCCTCTGTCAAGAATCAGGCAACAATCAAAGCAATGGAGGGGCAGGTCTAATGCGCTGTAACATTGTCAATGCAAAGTTTGTTTTCTCTAGGCCCCCACGTGGGACCTGTAATTAACCCGTTCGGTAGACCCAGGCCAAACAAAAGCCTAATTGAGCCTGTTTCCCTGAATTTCGGAGGTTTGGAAAGGGGCACAGGGATCAGAGAGCTGGGAGCCCCTGCCGGCCTCCGCCCTGCTCCCTGGCAGGGGTCCGAGGGGCACCAGCCACAGACACAGGATTAGGGTTCGTTCTCTTTCGTAGGTATTAGGTATTACGCGTTGTCGGATATTTAAAACATGACATTACACTCCGGAGTACAACTGAATCCAGCTTCTAAAGAGTCCGAGTATCATGGGGGAGGGGACAAGGTGGAGCCCCAAACCCCCACTCTATGCCCGGAAGGGAGGAAGCAGCAGCAGGGAGAAACCAGGCTTTGGAGGGGGCCACTGCCCTGTCGCAGGGCGCTGGCTCTCACACAGGGGCTACTGCTAGATGCCAGGGGACACGTGTGAGAGCGAGGGAAGTCCTTGGGCCTCGCAGAGTGCAAGACGGGCCCCCATCCCCTAAAGGCGGTTCCCCAACCGGGCCTCCTCTGTGCGCCCAGACCCAACCAGCCACCCTCCAAGGTTTTTGGAATTGGCATTGTGGGAGAAGTCAGGGGTGGGGTGCGGGGCTTAGGGAACAAACTGGGGGCCGGGTGGGGGAGGCAAGAAGACACACAGGCTGATCTGGTCTCCTCTCCCCTGCCTGTTCCTCCTGATAAATACAGCAGCATCTCTCCAGGGGCCGATGGCCGCGCTGGTAGGAAAGTCCGGCCTCACTGGCTACGCAGATAGCCCCTCTGTGAGCGAGCGCTCACACTTGAATAGGAGTCCCTTCCTCAGTCCTACGCGGGACACTTTGGTTGAAAGAAAGCACTTTGTCTTTAAGAAAATAAAGCAGGACCCTCTCTTCCTATTTGACGTGCGTGCAGGGGAATAGAGCAAGAAAAGGGACAGGAGGAAGGAGAGGTGGGGGGGGGCAGGCAGGAGGACAGCATCTAATTTTCAAAAACCAGTAATATTGCTACCGCTGAGAGCTGAAGGCTTCCAGCTAGGCCAGCGGTTCTCAACCTGTGGGTCGCGACCCCTTTGGGGGTCGAACAACCCTTTCACAGGGGTCTTTCGAAAATACATCCTGCATATCAGATATTTACATCACCATTCGAACAGTAGCAAAATTACAGATATGAAGTAGCCACGAAAATAATTTTATGGTTGGGGGTCACCACAACATGAAGAACTGTATTAAAGGGTCGCGGCATTAGGAAGGTTGAGAACCACTGAGCTAGGCGGTCCCACCACCGCAATGCAGGCCCGCAAGCTCAGCCTTCACGGAACAGGGGAACCTCGCAGGGCCTGGGCGACTACCCCCTTCGCAGGCAGCACTACTTGCAGGCTCGCTGGTAAACATATAAAAGAGGGACCTGGGCCGTTGCATTTATTTATTTATCTATGCCAAACGTTTATTAGTGAAATAGTCCTGAAGATATAATCCTACATATGGCGCTTTGATTTTCACATATTTAAGGAAAAAAAAATGACAAAACACATAGAAGTCGACATATAATTCAAAGACCACGGTACAACCTTTGTCTTCTTTTTTTTTTTTTTACTTCAGCAAACAAAAAAATAATGTCCAATGACATGAAAAGTGGCAAGTCTTCCGACAATAAATAATAAATTACTTTATAATTTTTTTGCAATGCAAGAGCAAACAAAAAAAAGTTTCCTTTTTCTTTTCCTCTTTATTTCCAGAGAGAGAGAGAGAGAGAGAGAGAGAGAGAGAGAGAGAGAGAGAAACAGTCATTTTAACCGATAACTATACACATCTTTGGGGGGAAAGTTCTTGGACAGACAGGAGAGTCAAACACAATCCCGAGAGACGCTTTGTGGCAAAATAGAGGTAACCTTGTTGCAATGCTTTATAAGTCGGTTTTTAAATCTGGATTCAAAAACCTTTAAAGTCGCTTCAGACTTCTTGATAGAGGATGGATCTCAAAAAAAGAGGAGGCGGGGGAGAAGGGGCCAAAGGAAAAAAAAAGGGACATGCTAAGAAACCCAGGCTTTCAATTAACCCCTTGTTAAGTCAACTGGAAACCTCGCCGACCAGCGCCCTCTCCTGAAAGGGCCTTTCAGCCGCTCCTCCTGCGGCTCCTGTTTGGCAAAGCCGGGGACCAACATAGAAACAGCACCATTCAGCGCAGGGTGGACTAGAAACATTGCTACGTCTGCTTCTCTCTAGATGGGCAGTGAAATGAAAGCGCTTTTTTTTTTTTTGAGATCCTTGAATATAAATCCTCTACGTTTTAAAAACGTCTTTTTTTTTTTTCCTCAGTCCTCCTAAGGTCACTGGATAGCGTGTGTTGGGTTCAGGTTTTGCTTTGTTGTTTGTTTTCATTCTAGTAAAATCCCATGATTGTCTTCACAGTGTTGCTACCATATTACCTTGTCATTAAAACAGACTTCGTGCATTTCATGGAGCATTCATTTCCTCAATTCAGTTTCCATGGACTGGGTCGTTAAATACTCGTGTTTCGGAGTTCAACGGATGGGCTCCCACTGTCTCCAACAGGGAAAAAATGCATCTGCATGAGTGTCCTCAGGCCTCGATGGGGCTGGCCACCATGCTGTTGGGGGTGTCCGGGAGCTGCGAGGACATGGAGGCCACTTCGCTGCCGGTGGAGTTCGAGCCCGGTCCTCCCTCGGAGAAATTGACCTGCGGGGAAGGTTGAGAAGTGAATGAAGGAGGCTTTGATCACATGCAGAAAAGGATGATCAGACCGTCTGTGTGTGGGTGCCTGCGGGACCGGTGTGTGTAGACAGAGAGATATGTAGAGAGCACTATCCATCCGGGGGCGGGACTCCATTTTAACAGGCTTAAAGCAAGCCTCCCAGGAAAGGGATTTGAGGAGAAACCCTCTCCATTTCCCAAACTCCAAGAGACCTGTTGGAGCTGAACCTGAATTCCCAACCTTATGTTGCCTTCAATTATTTAAGAACAAACGTGTTTCCCACTGTAGGATGGCATCGCGACTCTACCACGCATGCTCGAGATAAAATCCTCCTGCGGGCTACGTGCTGCCCCGGGAGCAGGCGAGTTCTGTCTCCAGGCATCACAGCCTCTCCCCTTGAGCTGGAAAATCCATAACAGGAACTCCTCTGACCGGCGATTCCGGGGAGGCCCCAAGGAAGAGTGATAGCCTCCTCCGAGGGCTCGCAGCCGGGGCCTCCTTCCTCGTTGGCCCTGCAGCCTGTGGGCCTTTCTCCGTCTCCTCTTTCTCTTTAAGCCGGGCTCTCGCTTCCCAGTGGAGACCCATAGATTATAACGTCATTGCATTATAAATACGGGGCTCCTTTGGAGCCGAGAAAGTCGTGTTGCCGCCTTAAAGCTCCTTCTCTGCCCAGCCCCCACCCACGCCTCCTGCCTGGGTTCCTCCTTCTGCTCACATCAGTCACTGCCTTTTCGGAAGCTGCCCCGCATTCTCCCCCACCTGCCCTCTAGGGTCCAGGTTCCACCCAAATAACTCATGAGATTAACCTGACTTTAAAGAAGTGACGGTTCCTCATTCCTGAGGCACCTTCCTCTCCTCGATGCTCAGCTTTCCCACTGGGAGGTCAAAGGACTCCTCAGATTTTCCCAGCCGGCCGACTTACAGACAGAAACCTGGGCCAGGCCTGGGTAACCAGGGACATTACCTACCTGTGGCCACAGCGGAAGAAAATGCCCTCCAGGTAATGAGAGGGTAAAAACCTAACCTCAATTAAACTGTCATTTCCAAGGAAAGGAACAAGCTTTTAGGATAGATCTTATGTCATACAAGATTCTCTAGGGCTGTTTACTATTTAAGCAAAAAAAAAAAAATCTTATGTGTACATATACCACAGAGGATGTATATTTAATTATCTTATTTATCTTGACCTTTAAGCCTTTTGTAGGTGAAAGGTAAGCTCCTTTTCTCTTTTCTGGATGTGTGAAGCATTCTAAGAGATTTTCACCTAGTATCTCTCTGATGGGTCTAACTCGTGTTCCCTTTTGCTAAATACATGCTCAACAGTGTGTCACTAAGTGTGAAATTTGAACTCCTATACTTAAAAATGTTTCAACAGTCCCGCATTTCAGACAAGGGCAGTCCCAGAAAGGGCTATGGTAACACAATAAGGGCTATCGTATCGGTCCTGTCTTTGAATAATAACTGGACTCTTTCTTGATGTATCTGAACCCGCACCCAGACAGATGCCTGCTGCCCACTGGTAATGACATTGATCCTGCACATCCACATTACTAACATCGCTTTGATTTAGGCCCTGAAACACCCCGTTCTCTAGGAGCTGAGGCGGGAGGGCATATACTAATTGCTGATTAAAGTGTCAAGGTGCTCTCTCATGTCCCTCCGCACTCCCCAGTCGGAGAGGTGTGCTTCTGCAAGCCCGGCGCCTTCCCACGCAGGGCGATTTAGTCAGGCACCTTGAGGCCAATCCATCAAAGCAGGACTGGCAGACAATGCAGCCTGGATGGTCGAATGACAGGGCGCTCACAGAAAAGGCTCACGGGAGGTTTGTTTTCCTTGCAAGCCTGCTCCTCCTCCTCCCCACACCACCCTCATCTCTGCCCAACCCTGGGCCCAGGGAAGCACCCGTCCCCGCACCCCCACCCCTGGGATCTTTCTTTTCATGGCGGTTACACCAGAACCTCCTTGCTGGTGGAGACTTGTGCTGGGAGCTGACACTCACCAGTTGCTGAAAAGCAGGCTGATCTATGTCACTCTGCAAGGCGAAGTCACTCAGTACTTTCCACGGCGGCTGGTAACTCTGCACCTCCACAGGGTTGGCCTGCAAGCCACCGTCGTGCCTCTCGGGACTGGCGGCCACCATGGGAGTTCCTGTCATCCCCTGGATGTTCTGTGAACGAGGCCCCCACCCCGCCCCAACACGTTAATGAGCAAACGCCCTCCCTCCATTGTCTGCTCGGGCTGAACAAATATGCCCAGGCATTATCTTATCTCTATGGTGGCCTTTATTGACTCGGTTAATCTGCTGCACCTATGGATGTGAGCTGGGGTTCCCTGTTGTTTTACTGTGTTTTGTTTTTCTGCTTCTGTGGGCTGGACTATTAGGTCTGCTTGGGCCTCATTACACCAAATTCTGCTGTAACTTCCCTCTTTCCCTGACTCTCACGGCGAATCCCAGTTCCCCCGCAGCCATCCCAGGCCACAGGCCTCGGAGGCAGGGGAGGCCTCCCTTCGGCTCTAGACAGGGTGGCCTCCTGGGCAGTTTCACCGAGCTGAGCTGTTCGGTTAGGTTTTCTCCAGGCGGCTCTCCCTGCAGGCCACCCCCGCCCTCTAGCCCTTGGGTCTGGTGGCTGTTGTACTATTAAGCACTAACCAGCTTAGAAAGTGCCCTGGCCCAGGCTGGGCCGGCCTGCCAAGTTTAATGACAGCTGGTTTTATGGCATTTAAAAATAGGGCCAAAGCAGTAAAAAGCAAAAGAGGGGGGGAAAGGAACTCTTGAGGTTCTTTTAACCAGAAGGCCTGTGGTGGGAGCTGCTGTGACCAGGGAGGAGAGGGGGGGACAATGCCAGGGCCTGACATCTCTGCAGCCTGGTCTTGACTTTGAGCAGAGGGTGCCCTGTCTTTGGGGTCACCTTGGGGGACATCACAGGCCTCAAGGTGCTGCAGAAGGCCTAGCCGGTGGAGGGCAGGGGACTCGGGGGGCCTCCAGGGTACCCCCCCCTATCCTGGATTTCATAGAAAGCCAAGCCTTGTCCCTCCCTCCTCTCAGGGCACCTAGAGCTGAGGACCTGAATGTCAAACCCAGAGCCAGGCCTGGCCGCCTCCCGCCTGCCCTTAGAGGGGTCGCTATGTGGATGGGGACAAGGTTGAGGGGCATGAGCCCACCCATGAAGGCTGGGGTGGTGGGTTAACCCTCTACCCCCAATCAGGCTGGCCCTGGGGTGTGGGGCCGCCTGCCAGGGCTCCTGCTCCCAAGCAGGGTGGACACCGAGGCCGGCCAGCCTGGGCAGCCTGGGCCCCT